TATATACATGGTTTTTTTTCAGGGAGATTATTATAATGTATCACGGTTACCTGGTTCATGTGTCTGTCGTCAACGATAATTTTATCTATGTATCCACACTACATAAAACAGTAGGTATCACGTTACATACTCAGCATTCATTTTGATTATTTCTTGAATGATCAAGAAGGATACTTGCTTAGAGTCTGGGAAAGAGAATGTCATTCTTCTTTTGGTACAAACAATTCTAATATCTTTACCTTCTTTAATTATCTATAATGTACTTTAAAGTATTATTGTTTTTTGGAATTTAATACAATATATTTTGATCATATTCAGACCTTGTCTCCTATCTCTACCCTACCATACTGTGCCCTACACCCCTGATTTCATGGCCCCTTTTATTTTGTTTAAGGCATATCAAGTCTAATTTATGTTCCCAAATGCCCTTTGGTGTGGGTCCATTCGCTCAAGCCTCATTAACCTACCCAGCTCTCATATTCTTAAAGAAAACTGACTGTCCTACTCCCAGAAGATATCAGTTGCCAAAAGTTCTGAACTAGGGATGGGTTTCTTGCCCATTTCCCCCTCCATGCTGGGATTTTCATCTGGCTTGAGGTTGCACAGGTGACAATTTTACCTAAGTTTCATTTGAACTTTTATTGACCAATAAGTTCTAACAGCGTCTGTGGCTTTACAAAACTGCCCTGAACACTTCACAGCATTCCAAGATAGTTAAATAAATATGTAACCCGTGAAAATGATTTCATGAGATAATAAAATTAAGAGATAATTGCTATATTGCATTGGGAAACTGGCATTTCACAGGATGTTCTATGCCAAGTCCTTAGTTACCAAGTCTTTGGAACCTGGGGATTGGGCTAGGCTGCAGGGCAGTTCTATTCATGGAAAGCAAGTCTGTTGGAAAGGTCAAAGCAGTAGCTCAGAAGAAATTTAGATAACAAGAAAGCAAGGTGGGGTATGCAAAGTCAGAAGTAACTCAAAATCAGGAGAGAGGCTTTTGAAGGAAGTACTCATCCATGTGGGTAAATCAGACCTGACATAATCATGTATAGTTTTACTTAGTACTTAAACTTTATCAACAGTAGCTTTTCTAGAGCAGAGAGCCTGCCATGATTCTTGCCTAATACATCATCCTTATTGAAGAGATTTTCATTAGCCTGTAGACATCTCTATCACTATCACTTCTAAACCTGTCAATGATGATTGCTTTCTGATTTTATCAGAAAACCAGTTTCTCTCAGAGCTAGTCCCCTTCTCCCTCATGTCCTCCTTTCCTTTTAACTTTTCTTCCACATTTGTGGCTTGGCCTGGTCAAAGAACTTTTTAATAACTGAAAAAATGGCTACTTAGTTTATCTTCATAGAAAACAACTGCAGTTCCTTCACTTGTAGCTACATGCTTCAACTCACCCATCGTTACTTAACAGATGACAAAAGCAAAGACCCCAAAGGTCTAAGTCATTTAAGTGTGAGTTACCCCAACCAGTCAAGGACAGCAGAAGATCAGCATATCAGTGTTCAGACACCACGTTTACCCCACTTTACTGTTTCCTTTAGAGCATAATATATGTATGTATTTATAAATTATAATTTTAATACATACAAAATAAATAAAAAACCAAACACCACTATAAAAAACATGCACATGAAGATAAACAAGTGCATGCACAACACATTCCATGATAGACTCTCTGAGTTTGACAAGTGCACAACACAACCACTCTTAACTCACGAAGTTTAAAGATGATTGTGTTCCAAGAATTTGGAAAATATGATCATTTCTTACCTGGCAGCTGTATGAGGGGTTGATAAAAGACATTAAAAACTTGAGCTATGATTAGACAGAAGATTTTTCTAGTACTGAAGTTTACGCCTACCTGTGATTCAGGGGCATAATACTTTTCATTCAAGGTAGTTCAGAGACTTGATAGGGATAACTGAATATATAAGACTTTATCATTTTCACCCACATGGCAACATTAGCTTGAATGCTGGTAATTACAACTCAAATCTTCCTGTTGGCTAACATGGTCCTAGTTTTCCTCATTAGGCCTAAACTCTATGTAGTCAGTCCTTTAGATCAGACAGCTATGTGGGAAAATAACTTCAGAAATCCCTCTGCCCACACAGCCCCAACATCAGGAAACCCAGAAATGTCCATTGCTTCTTAGTATATAAAAGTACATAACTAAACCAGGAGTGGTGTTGAAGGCTTTAATCCCAGCACTCAGGAGACAGAGGCAGGGGCCAGTCTTCTCTACACAGTGTGTTCCAGACTGATTGGGGCTGTAGACGAGGCTGAAACCTCATCTCAAAAAGTAAATCAATAAATAAACAAACAAATAAATAAATAAATAAATAAAATTTTAAATTTTAAATTACTTAAAAGTACTCTGGGCATGAAAGGGGCAGCTGAGAATGAGCTGTTTTCAGGGCTGAGGATGTAATTTAATTCATAGAGTGCTTGCTTAGCATGTAGGAAGTCCTGGGTTCAATCTCAGTCACCAAATAAAATGCAGGATCAGAGTTCAAAGTTCAGTCTCAGCTTCAAAGCAAGTTTGAGGCTAGCCTGGGATACATTAAACCTTGTCTCCAAACAAAACAACACAAGACAAAACACAAGGATCTCCTTTCAATCCCCTGCCCTACTTCTGCAACAGTTATTTAACTAGATCTGTATACTTTGAAAAGCAAGTATAATGCTTTCCTCAAAAATTTTATAATATAAATAATTGATAGTTAAATATGTCATCTCACTCCAAGAGGGCCTCATAATTTGATGTTCATTAAAAAAATCCATCTTAGCCCTTCTTCAATAACCCTTTAAAAAATGTAACCACATTCATGAACCCCCTCTGCCTTTCTACATGAAATCATACATCTCTAGCATTTTAGTAAGTACCCAGGAGAGAACAAGAAGCTGAGAGAAATGCTCACTCCACTTGATTGTTTCTTTCTAAATAGTAAGGCACATAAAAGAACTAATCAGTAACAAATAAATCAAGTAAGAACAAACAGCATCTATTCATCCTTCTTTATCACCAAGAGACTCCATAAACAGCATTATGACAATTAACAGCAGCAACAATGGCACACACAAAAAATAGTACTGGGTTGTGACACTTTAAAATTAGTGCCCTAAACTTTCAAGAGATGTGACTTTAAAAAGTTGTTTATTATTTGTATTTTATGTGTATGAGTGTATTTCCAGCATGTGTGTAAGTGCACTTGTGTCGTGCAATGCCTGTGGATGTCAGAGAAGGCGTCAGATCCCCTGGAACTGGAGTTACAGACAATTGTTCCCCGCCATGTGGATGCTGGGAATAGAACCTGGGTCTTCTGCAAGAGCACTCAGTGCTCTTAACCCCTGAGCCATCTCTCCAGCCCTGAGGTAACTTTTCTAAATGAATATTTTTGTTTACACCCAAATCACGCTTGTCGAAAATTCAGTTTCTTTACATTGTTACTCTGTTAATTTTAGAAGTGCTGAAGGATTCTCTGGGCCAACCCCAATAAAGAACATTGTGTAGTCTCAAAATCTTCCAAATACAGAAAAGCACATCCCCTTGAGAAGCTTTCGTTGGAGATGCTCACAAGAATATAGAATGGATTCATGCCACATATGTAATAACTTTCCGTCTCAGTGGGAAGAAAGACTGAGAAATAAAGTAATGAAAATACCATGTTCACTTTTCAAGTTTGAATCACAACTGAAAAGTAAATCTATGCCCTGAAATTCCTAACCTTCGTAAAGAATAAATAGGTCCAAAATTGATTAACTGTAAGTAAAGAGGAATTAAGCTTGCATATGTTCATTTTCCTTAAGCCCCAGCCCCTGCTCTTCAGAATTATTGATTATAGCAAGAGATATTAGATTATAAAGCGAAGTTACTCACCATGGAGGAATCACTGCTTCCACTCCCGATTGGAGCTCCCTCAGCACAGGTTGGGAGGTGGGTAGAAAGTTGACTAGCCCTGCCCCCATCTATGACATCACAATCTACCTCATAAAAGGTAGTGAAAGTGCTCTGAACTCCTGTCTGATTTCCGAGAGATACAGAAAAGAGAGCGTGAGAGAGAGAGCAAGAGAAAAAAACCCATATCCTATTTGGGAGGGGTCTGGGGAACTACCTGGGAGGAAGAGGAATTGGGTGCTGAAAGAGATACTTGTGGGCCTTCTTGACATTAAGCAGCCCATTCATTTGGATTCCTCTTTGGGTCTCCAAGAGATAAAGGAACCATCTATGAGGAGGTTGAAGAAGCACCTTCCCTTGCCCAGGACTAGCAGGGGTAGTTACAATGGGCTCAAAAGGGATGAGTCTTCTATTTAAATAATATAACATTACCAAGAGATAAAGCAAAGGCTTTAGCTTTTAGGGCCTGGAGCCATAATGGGGGTCCCAGGTGCCTTGCTTGGAGTTTCCCATACCATGGTGTCAATTTTGTCAAGCTCCTGGGCCTTATGCATCCAGCCAGCACCTGGTATGAAAAGGATACTTACCTCATTTATCAGGGTGCACTCATTGTCGGAACTATATTTGCTGTTCTTTTTGGCACCCAATGGTGGGTTGTATAAATGGCATAATTGAAAAGATAAGCCAATAACCAATGCCTATTTCTACCTTTAAAATGTATTTGTAAAAATTTCTCAGTATATTGTGTAAAATCCTCCCCTAGTTATGGCCAGCCACCAAGTGGGGAAGAGCTATAAGGGTCCCTGTTCTGTGTTCTTTTCATCCAGCTGGTCCCTGATGGGGGTTCAGTCACTGTCAGTGGAAAGTTCTGTATGATGCTTTTACGCCCCTAACAACCTCCTTCCTGAGAATCTTCAGCTGACTGTGGTGGTTGACATGTGACATGGGTTTATTATTTGATATAGGTCTTTTTCCTTTTGTGGTGCAGAGCTAACAGATCTGCTTTATTAATTGCAAACTATTTTTAATCTTGACATTAAATGGAGAGAAAGAGAAAAAAAAATCTCAGTGTACAAAAAAAATGAATTTTTTTTCCATAGGTACCAATTGTATCATATATTGTATCTTTATGAGGTAAGCCGATTTTCAAAATTCCAGAAAAAAAAATGGCAAGATACTAAGATAGTAAATGGTAAGATAGGACTCTATAGTCCTAAGGGTCCCTGTACTTTCACACTCAAAGGACAAATTCATGTGCTAAATGCCTGACCAAACATTCTTGGCATAAGCAATTCTGTTCCAGTAATATAGTCAGAGTTTTATTGTTCAAGAGCAGTTTTATTGCAGAAAAGTTACAATAATGAGATGCAGAGCACAATATTTTTTTCAAATGGTTACTTAGAAATGTAAAAATATGAAATACAAGAAGTTGTGAAGTAAAAATTGTGGCAAAACAAAAATAATAGGTGATATTCAAGAACAGTAAAAATGTGAAATAGAAGAAGTTGTGAAGTAAAAATTGTGGTAAAACAAAAATAATAGGTGATATTCAAGAGCAAGCAGATCCTGTTTCACATAGAAACCAGAGTTTCATCTGCCTAATGGAATGCATAAGTACTTGCACCTATCAACGGAAAGCATTTTAGTGAAAAGAGTCAAATAATAGCTTGTGATTTGTGGCAATGCAAATGAGTGAAAGCTTGTTTGCATATGCAGATAAACAAAACACCTAATTTGTGAATCTTTGATCTTTAAGTCAATGTAATTCAGTTCCCAATCATGTCATTCATAATTTACCAAATATATGTGTATTATAACAATAATTTAAAATTAAGCCAATCTAGTAACAGAAGTTACTAAATTCAAACTAATGATAGATTTATCTATCACTCCCATCTTCACTTTCAGAAAAAGGAAGATATTTAAAGAACGAAGAGTTCAAGACAACACCAAAGGGAAAATTATCAAGGATGTATGAGGAAAGAAGGCTATTTTTGAAACATTTTTACGTTCTCTGAATTATTAGAGAAAGCAATGGCACTTTGTATGGATTTTATTACTTGCTGGATTCTTTATTACCATTTTATATTACTCTATGTCTAAATTTGAATTCTATACACAACAGGATTTGTTTATGAGACCTCAAAACAAATGATCCTATGAAATTTTACTTTTAATTTTTATATCTTAGATCATTGATTAGTTGGCTTATCTTTACTTCTTTATAATTTGCATTATCCTATTGATTTTAGAAAATAAGCATTGCTTGATTTTTCCCATTGTAGAGAATATATTAGTCAATTACCATTATTGATTTCAAAACTGATTGTGATACCTTAGAACTTGTTTTCTCATGTCATAGGATTAATGATGCAATTGCCCATCTTCCAATAAACATTTTAAGATTTTGACTACCCAGTAAAGAAGTGACACTTCTACAACGTTAAAATAAAAACAAAAAAATTCTGTTAAAAGGTTTTAAAAATAGAACACACTGAATTTAGATCATAATCTTGAGTATCTCATGTTGACTTCCTACTGTATATTGGAAAGTGGAATATGATTTCAGGAACCCAATGCAAAACTAGGCAGCATCAAAAAGACGCAGAGTAATGAGCTGTGCTGACCTTTCTGGTGAATTTGGTTTGATCGTGATAATACCTGTAATGATGGTATTTGTTAAAATAAGGTAACTTGCTTTGACATTGGATGCAATGCAAGAATCAGATGATTTCTGATTCTTCCGAAGATCCAGCCTCATGACAATGTTCATATAATCTAAGTTTTATCACAACTAAGAATTTGTTGCATGCTTCCCATGACATTTCACAATGGGTGAAAAAACCTTTCAAGACAAGATTGTAAGATTTCATAAGTCTCCATCATTATACCTATAATGCCTATTTAACCAAAGAGATGTAAGATGGGTTTTAAATTTTGCAGTAATTAATGCCAATTTAATTCTTACTAGAAAGGACTGAAACAGAGACAAGTGGAATAAGTTGTGTTTTCTAAAAGAATGATCAGCAAAATAACTGATCTTGGAACACATGCTGAGGCCAAGGCCAGGGTCATGCATCTTGACCACAGCAGCAAATTTTGATCAGAAATCCATTGATATAATCATAATTATTTGATTTTTGTTTTATGGCAGCATCTTATATAGAGAAATTAGAACTGAGAAGAATTCTTAGTTGTTACCAAAAGATGCTGACTGGAATCTCTCCAAGATATTCTCTCCCACTGGCAAAATAGATTTGCCAAATAAAATGGATGAAAGAGGTTAAGACACAGGTCATAGGGATTTGACAGAACATCTGGCCAGAGTTCCAGTCAAGTTCATTATCAGCAAGGCACAGATGAAGGTATTCAGAGAAAAGTAATGAAATAAGATGAAGTAGTATTGATGATGAAGGAAAGATTAAATTCTAAGTTAAAAAAGCTTGCCTTCAAGAAAATAAGATTAAGATGAAGTATTTGAAATACATTTATTGCCTAAAAGCAAACTGACTGTTCAAGATCAGAATAAGATGATGTGTTCTGAAGCTGTACAGGAAATCTGCGTTGACCATAATGCATCATATATTTCTTTTCTAAGGGGTGTAATCAAAGTCGTATTTTATAAATCATTTAAGTTAGTCTGGAGAAAGCACTTGACAAAATAATTTGTAAAGACAGGATATCAACTATCGTAAGCTAAATATGCCTTTATTCCCAGATGAAGTAAGTCAAGAAAACACTGAACACAGACACACCCATCAACAGATACCCTGTTATTTTAGCAGAGAATCCCAAACATTTCAGTAAACTCAGAAACTACTTAGAACAAAATGACAGAGGGAAAGCACTCTAATAGAAAGACTCTAGAGGGGAAAAAAAAAAAAAAACAACTTCTTTTTCATGGAAATTGCTTGCTACTAAATACAAAGAAGCATTGGATGACTTCACCCCACTCATATTTCACACAGTAAGGCTGTGACAGAAGCGGGTGATGAACTCAATGGATCGGAAAATAGTCAATGTGAAAAAGAAATAAATGTAATTCTTTCAATTCCTGATTGTTAGTTTATCACTGGAAATTAGGGTTATCTTGGCATGTATTCGACATGAAACCCATTCCGTCTATAGGCTCATGTATAGTGGTCATACTAATCTTCATGATCTCAAGAAGACTTCCTTCCAAACAGACATTTCAATATAAGTTTAATAATATATCATGAGAACATGTAAAAACTCTGATCCTACTTGGAAAAATATTGTCAAAACTCTGTATAGAATTGAAAAATCCCATCTTATCAGTTTTGCTATGGAATTTTATTTCTTTTAGTCTTAGACATTTTTGGTAATGAAACGATACCAAAAAATCAACAATGAAATCTCCATATATGTGAATTAATATCATGCCTCTCTGTTTGACCTATTTAATATTTACATCATCTTTTTCACATTTTAACTTTAATAGCCTTCCTTCAGCCTAGAAATTCTTGGGGTAAGTCAAAGTAGAAATGTGGAACAGTATCCACAAATTTAGATTTACCTAACTAATTATTAGTAAATAAACTAATTATAAACATAAGCCAATTATGAATAACTTTTTAGCCCTGACATCTGGGTAATACAAGAAAGTCAGACAGGAGAAACTGCATTTTAACATACCGTATTCACTCATTACTTTGCCATCTCAAAATTATGTGGTTCAAGTTAAGGAAGAAAGTACACGTGAATGGTGCTCTTACCTATTCAAAAGGCACCCTTTAGACACCACTGACACATTCCTTTAAACTATTTTAATTATTTTGGTGCTAGAGATTGAACTCAATGCCTAGATTTTGCTTAGCAAGTGCTCTATCGCTAAGCTATATGCCCAACCCTTATTTAAAAATATTTGTAAATGTTTAAAATAACGTTTAGGATAAAATCAGAAAACTATCTCATATAGAATAGTACTCAGAATTAGACTATATCTTACATGGGGCTGGAGAGATGATTCAGTGGTTCAGTTACCAGCACCCGCATAACAGCTATCAGCTGTCCATAATTCCAGTTCCAGAGGTCTGACACCTTCTCCTGACTTCTGTACAAAACAGGTGCACTTACTTATGCAGACAATACACTCATACACATAA